CTCTCTCTCTCTCACACACACACACTCTCTCTCTCTCTCTCTCTCTCTCTCTCTCTCTCTCTCTCACACACACACACACACACACACACACACGCGCGCGCGCGCGCCCTGAACTACTCTGATTGATAATTTCCCTAATTTTAGAGACAATTTGACTTCATCCCTGATAAGTTTGAGCCAAGGGAATGCAGAGCCTTGAAAACTCCCAAATTAAAGAAGTCCAAGAGTGCAACGTTGAGGTTTGAAACAGTGGCGATCAGTGTAACTTGCCGTAACCGCCCTGCATAGCCAATAGGCCTACCAACTGAGTTGTACAAGATAGAACTAGATTCTAGTTGTTTTAATTCCTCATAAACTATTGGAGGGGTGAAAAATAGAAGTAAAGGCTTTTTTTTTTCACTTTTTTTTTTCTTGTTTTTTTTTCTGAAAGTACTTTACGGTGCTCGTAACTGCAAAAGGTCGTACGAGCGAGAGGGGTACATTAAACATTTTCAGTTTGGTAGGAATTAATTTTACATTTTGTGTGGATGACGACCGAAGCCTACTCTTATCGATTTTAGGACCACTAAGGATCTTGAACGTGCGCAGCTTGCACACGGGACCTCCGAGACTTTTAGCCCTTTTCCGAGAAGGCTAGGTGTTTGATCAGGGATGTTGCAGAAAGAAAGCAGTAAGAAGGAGCCAAGGAGTAGAAGTAGAGAGGCAGCCGAAAGAGCCAAAAGAGGCCAGAGAATAGGGCAAAGGGGAAGGGGGGTTGAAAGTGGAAACGAAAGCAGACGACGGAACATGATTAGTTGATTGAAGTGGGCCAATCTTTGTTTCTCTCCAACATACCGATTTCCCGCAGAAAAAAAAAGATCAAGTATATGCAGTGATCACTCTTTTTCTAAAAAAATGAATCAAGAGCTAATTGACACAAAGAAGAATAAAAAATAAACGAAGTGTAACAAACAACTGCAACAAGGACATTTCTGTTCCCCTCCCACCTTTTCAAAAGCAACCATTTAAAAAATAGGCTCCAATGATGCTTTTAAAAGAATAATGACAATGAAAAAAATAGAAAATCTTTTCAACAATGGTGATGAATAGCGCACAAGCCGCAGCTTTCAGCCTGGGTTGGCCTTGACAGGCAGGGTCGGGAGTCAGCTTCTTAGAATTTTAGATTATCTAAATTGTGTCGATAGGGTGTAAAAACACCTTGATTTTAAACAGAAAAATTAACACGCCGCAGGTGATGGTGTGCCAATCAAGAAATAAGCTCATAGATGAGCGCTCTTATTTCTTTTCAGACTACCTAGGATATTGATGATATGAATGGCAACAGCTAGTTAAGAACAAAAAGAAGGTTACATTTTCAAAAACAATCGAACAAGTAAAACCTATCTCTCTATCTATCATTCATCTGTAATGCACATTGAATTAAATGTATTTATGTCTCCCACACTCAATCAGTTTGAGAGGTATTTGTGTACGCATACATGTACAATTAGTGTATGTTACACTGAACTGCAGTCCAGAAAAGCTTATAAACTATGCACGTTGCGAGGGCCGTGCAGCATGCTGGTGCTTATTCTTGCTCTCACTGGCAAGGACGTTTAGCGTACCAGGTTGAGCACACGCAGACCTCGCGGGTGGCGTCTCTTCCCCGGTTCTTGCATACAACCAATTTAAGGGACAAACATACAACAAAGCGTTGAGGCCATGACAGTGGGTTATCTGAGAAAGAGTATAATTCTATGGGCTTGGGGCCGAGTTCCTTTGTACTTCCGGAGCAATCTATTATTCTCACTGTTCAGTTCAAAATGGCGACCGTAGGGGGAATCCCTCTGAGCAAGGTAAACACTGATCATGTAGTAATGCACTATACTGCCCAATGATTGACTGTGCAGTCATTTCATACCATTTTATCATTGTTTCTTTTATTTATAGTCTATTGAAAGGAATGTTTATATAGTAATAACTTTACAGCAGTGCACGACGATAGCGTCGTTGAGAAGACGGTTTGTTAGTTTGTTTTGGTTTGGTACTCGCACGCCTCGTTCATTCGTCAACAAATCTAAAACAAAAGTAGGTCTAGAGATCTAGATTCTAGATCTAGAATCTAGATTCTATATCTAGTGTACATCTCGGGAATTGAGCGATATTCAGTTACTCCTGGGGGCCAAGACTGGAGATTGCCTTTGCAAACTCTGATGGCCACCTCTATTCTCACCCGGAGTGAGAATAGTACACATGCGATTAAAAGTAGAAATGATGCAAACTATTTTTAGGTAAGGCGCCCATCTTGTTTGACGTCAGACCAGGATACCCCTCCGATCACGTGACTACATCTAAGTATAGACAACCGCATGGCACCAAAGATGGAAGTATCTATGTATAATATTATGCTTAATCTACACAAATTTCTCGGAATTTCTGATAGCTGATTTGATAGCGCGTCTGCGTTTGATGTCGAGCAATGACTTTTGGAGCGGTTCGATTCCGGTCCCGGACAGTTTTTTTTTCTCTTTTCCTCCTCCCGACTGACCAACAGTTTCATAAATTATAGGCCTAATTTGTAGAGTTGCTTTGACTTTGAAGTTGTTGTTTATTTTTAAAAATGTATTAGTGATTAAAAATACAGGAGGGGGGGGGGGTGGTAGATCTAAATTTAGATATCTAGATCTAGATATTATCTAGTCCTCCTGCGTCTTTACGGCAATTTTCGTGCGGTCTTCCATCATGTCCAGGTAGGCCTAATAGATCTAGATCTAGAATCTAGATCTAGATCTAATCTAGAATCTAGATCTAGATCTAGAAAATCCTAAATGTTACCGAAAACACGTCGTTCCATGTTTGAGTATCCCAGGAAGGGATGACATCACATTACTAAAATAAGCAGCCAATCAGAAAGATGCGTCATTTCTAAGTTTAACGGCATGTGAGAATAGTGCAGGCGAGTCTTGTGGCTATTCTCACCCGGTGCGCGTTCACCAAATTTTGCGTTCACCCTAAACCACAGAATTCTACACTGTGATAACAGAAAAATTGTAGAATTCTGTGCCGTGAACAAACGTTCCATTACAACTGTAGCCTACTAAAAGCGTACAATTTTGTCTGTGGGCAGTGGAGAGAGAGAGGAGTAGCGCGAGAATTTCCGGGCAAAACAAAATGGCGACCCGCGTAGTTCGGCTCGATTCGAAAAGTTAAATAGCCGTAGCATCTTTGTAGACAACCAAATTAATTTATTTTTGTGTTTTAACATCATTTTTGTAACTTTGTTTTGGTCAATTTGATCGTCCACACCGATAGACAGTATTAGAAAGAGACAGAGAGAGAGAGAAGAGGGGAGGAGTTGATCTTGCGAGAACTTCCGGGCGGGTGAGAATAGCCACTTTCGTTTTGATACTGAAACCGATACTGATTGTTGGGCGATTTTTTAGTTTCGTTCGTTAAAGTCAAGAGATGGGGGGGTCAGGGGCATGCCTCCCTGAATTTTACCATAAGGAAGTGGCTATTCTCATCCGGGGTGAGAATAGAAATACGATCGACCTCTCACCCCGGGTGAGACTTGCGACCGTAGGCTATTCTCACCCGGTTTGAAACAAGACCTGTTTTTCTTAATTTCGGAATACTTTCTATCGATATGGATGATCAAATTGATAAAAGCCAGGAAAAAATTATGTTATAGCACAAAAGTAAGCTAATTTGATCGTCTTCAAAGATGCTCTATGGCTATTTCACTGTTCGAATCAAGCCGAACTACGCGGGTCGCCATTTTGTTTTGCCCGGAAGTTCTCGCAAGATCTACTCCTGCCCTCTCTGTCTCTTTCTGTATACTGTCTATCGGTGTGGATGATCAAATTGACCAAAACAAAGTTACAAATTGATGTTAAAACACAAAAGTAAATTAATTTGGTTGTCTACAAAGATGCTACGGCTATTTAACTTTTCGAATCAAGTCGAATTACGCGGGTCGCCATTTTGTTTTGACCGGAAGTTCTCGCGCTACTCCTCTCTCTCTCTCTCTTTCTCTCTCTCTCTCTCTCCACTGCCCACAGGCAAAATTGTACGCTTTTAGTAGGCTACAGTTGTGATGGAACGTTTGTTCACGGCACAGAATTCCACAATTTTTCTGTTATACAGCACAGTGTAGAATTCTGTGGTTTAGGGTGAACGCAAAATTTGTTGGCCTAGATCTAGGCTATAACTATAACGGTGAACGCGCACCGGGTGAGAATAGCCAAAAGATTCGCCTGCACTATTCTCACCCCGGGTGAGAATAGAGGTGGCCTTACCATAATTTGATGTTTTGCAGTTCGGAGTGGTTATCCGTACAATTGTGCGAACAACTCTGCTGTCTAGTCTAGATCTAGAATCTAGTTATCCATACAACATTGTACCGTACAATTGTGCGAACAACTCTGTCTAGTTATCCATACAACGCTGTAGGCACAATTGTACGAAGTGCTAAGGACAGGTATCCGTACAATAATAGTAGGCCTACATGCCCACAGGGGGAGGACTTCCGTAACGAGCGACCACTATTAATTCAAGATTGTACTTGTTGAGCACTACAATTCTTATGGGAGACCGAAAGCCACTGTTATGGCCTACTACCTGGACATGACAAAATTACGGTCGTTTGGGCAGTTTTAGGCCCTGTTCACCTGTTCAACGATTTGAAGATCTGAGTCGGGGATTAGTAGAATTTACTCAGGGCGTAGCCATTGTTGACCCCGCATACTTTATCAACTTCCGCTCTTCGGGAGCGCTGGTTTGCCAGGTTTTCTTCGGTTTCTAGCCTAATTTCATCTCGATTAATCCTCCAATAAATAACGAGCAACCACTATGAAACTGAAACAGGGGGTAGAGGGGACATTTAAGAGTTAGGGCTAGGGGTAGGGTAAGGGTAGGTAGAAGTTAGGGTAGGGTTAGGGGTAGGGTTAGGGGTTGGAGTAGGGTTAGGGTTTAGGGATGGGGTTTAGGGGTTAGGGTGAGGGGTTAGGGTGAGGGTTAGGGTTAGAGTAAGGTTTTGGGGTTAGGGATAGGGTTTAGGGTTAGGGTTTAGGGTTAGTGTTTAGGGGTAAGGGTAGGGGTAGCATTAGATATAAATCACCTACCTTCTCAGTTATCTCAGGCGTCCAGTCCTGGGTAAACCTCACTATTTGTTATGTACTGTTTTCACTCTTATTACACATGGAGATGGGATAACGAAGCACTGAGGTTGCGATTGGTTGCAACGGAATGTGTCTTCTAGATTCTTTTGTCTTTCTTTTTTCTTCTGCTCAAAACACGTGCGAAATGATTTCGTTATTTGTTTGATGTTTCTCTTATGCCTTACCGCAACACGGGCGCACGAAAAACACGAAATAAAGGTAGACCGGTACGGAGAAATCCGCGCTTGTCCTCAGCGGCAACTCAGAAAACGAAAGTCCTCCATTTTATCCGAATGAGTTTAACCCGACTCAGAATTTTCCTTTTTTTTGGGGTGTTTATTTTTTTGTTTGCCGATCGTATCATCTTTCGTAATTTTGCGAAAGAACCTCAACAAAATCCTTCGAGGTAAAAAATAATTGCGTTTGGTAATTTTGAAAGGTGATACACTCCCACTTAACTCAAGTAGGTTTATAAGAACCCTTTTTTTAACACATTGGAAACACCAGCTGTTTGGCATTGTGGTTATGCTGCTGGACTACTAATCATGTTTGCTTCCCTCACTCACTGGTTCGATTCCCGCCCACGCCACTGATTTTTCTAATCATGTTTATTTAGATTTTTGTCTGACAGTAAAATTCTGTTAAAAAATAAAAATGTTCTTTCCCATCAAAATTTGTTTTTTTATTTCAGGTCAGTCCAGCCTTTTTACATGCAAACTCTACCAGTCACACATGGGTATTCAGTGCTTTTGCAGAACTCATTGGTAAGTTGAATACTTTTTCTTGTTTTTTCCATAATATAAACTCTTTTCCATGAGTAAATGAAAGGCTGGTGACTCTCTGGTAAAATTATGGCATCATGCTTTTTTGCTAAGCATGGGCTTTGCACTTTGCGTAAGATGCTGAATTTTAGTTTGCCTCTTGACAGAGATCCAAATAACGTTGTAGTATTGTGTCCTGTGCCTTGATACTCTATTTCTGTCCGAATTTTAAACAGTTACAGACCTGTTCTATATTGCAAATTTAGCCTCCTGTCTGATAGAGCAATGGTTCAGAAAGATAAATGCAGCTCTGATTCTCAGCGAATAACAAACAAAAGTCTACCTTAGAATGGAAGGTCATTCTGCCAACTACTGGAAACCGGATGAGAGCATTGTTGAGCATAGGAGTGAGATTCATCAAATGGGATTTCATCCCAAATTGAACGACCCACTTTCCAGTCCAGTCAGCAGTGGGCACCATGGGTTTCATTATCTCAGACGGCTAAAATTTTACAACAAACTTGCAGCACATTATGAGAAGGATACTAACATGCAGCGAGTAACATGTCAATGAAAGACAGAGAAAGAGAACAAGTGAAAGAGATTGTTACAAGGATGGATGTGGTTACTGGTGGGAACAAAGAAGGAAAGGTAGGCTTGGGGTTGGTTTACGGGATGGACTAAAACTTACGTCTCCATTATTTGTAATTGGTCCGGTAAACCTTCATGAAAATGTTGCTTTTTGACACTTGGTAGATTAACGTTCCTTCCACCCTTTATTTGTCTCTCACTCATTCTTCCGTTTCCTACACTTACCTGAAGCAGAATATTTTCTGTTATTCCCTCTTGGTTTCATTTTGGATAAGTTTTGTTGCTCATGAAATATTGTTCATCTGTAATAAACTCAGTCTTAGGTTCACTCATAGGTAAGTACTACTTTCAGGTCATTGTTTTTGAAGTTTTGGTTTTATTCATTTTAAACTATGATTAGTCCAGTGGTCTGTTGAGTTCAACAGCAACTCACATGTAATTTGCTAATGGTTTTCATAAAAAACTAATAATGACTTGGAATTTCATCAACATTTTGCAGATAATGCATATGATCCAGATGTAAGTGCATCAGAGCTGCTAATTGAGAAAGAGGACATTGGTAATGTTCCAAGCCTCATATTTCTGGACAATGGAGCAGGGATGAACTCGGAACATTTGTTGAAAATGTTGAGGTCAGTTCTTTTGTTTTCTCCCAGAGCACTCATGTAGTATGTTTAATCTGTTTCTTAGCCCTGCTGACACTCTGGGCGTAGTTATAGGCATATGTTTACACAGACAGTATGTAAGACGAGAAGTATATTGATAGCATAATGTTAGGTTTCAATTTTGATCAAATACACTCAAGCAAATGGATTTTTACTGATAATAGAAACTTTACTAAATTTATTATAATCCCATATAATTTGGCAGTTGGTGAAAATATCAAATTGCCTGGATATTTTAAAAAATAGGCGTAAAAAAAGGTCTTGCCTTACAGATAATCATGCTTTTTTAATTGTGTAAATATCATTAGTTGTTCTTGAAAAAGTAATGATCATTTTTTTGTCATTGAAATTTTGCCTTGATTTTGTCCATTTTTTTGCACTGATTTTTGTGCCAGAATTGGGACACATTTTTATAGTGCAGTAAAAAATTCTTAGTGCAACTTATCCTCAAATATCTCTTTACGGGGTGAATCAATGTCACCTATACTTTGCACAGCTGTTTGTCTTAACTTAATCATATTTTTCCTCAATAATTGAGGCTAGATTTGAAAACAATTTTTCATGCATTTATATAAAATACTATAAATCTCCGCCACGCGAAAAATGGGATTGTTCAGAGCACTTCCCGCTTCTCACACACTTTTTGCATACGCATATACATCACAGCTCACCAATGACACTTTTAACGGTAAAACGTGTTACAAGAAATTTATTTTGGCACTACAGGTTCTCAAAACACACATGCGTTTAACTCTTATCCTGCGTCTGTGCCCAGATGCGTATCTTATCAGCAACCGATTACATCGGACTCGCCGGGCAGGCCGCCGAGGTCACTCAGTGTGTACTGTTGGTGTACAGCGCGCACGCCGGGAAACGTGTGTTTTCGCCATGAATACCACGGGAGTGTGTTAACTGATGATGAAAATAACGCTCTATCCTTCATAGCATTCTATTTATAAAGTGTTACAAACACATGAATAACCCCCTCTCACAAGCTGATAAGACATTACGAGTAGTTACGCCCATTTGAATAACCTTTCTGGACGCTCTTGTTGTTATGAATGACCTGAGGTTCGAAAAGGGATAATTTAGGTCAATTTCCGAATGTTTTACACTCAAATTGTTCTTTGTACCTGCACAAGGGTATTCAAAACTATTAAGCAAGCTCATTTTTTATCAGGTAGTATCATTTCATACAAAATCAAGCTCATTTGAAATATTTTGTATAGAAAAATGGAAGTCTTGTTTCCTGACTATCCTTTCGAGCTCCTCATGTCTAAGTGGGTCAATTTCTTCTATAATTTCATTGGACGAACATCTAGAGCTATCAACTTGGCATGTTTTGAATGAGACGTATGCCTCGATTACGAACCAACGCAGGTGGTTCTAGAAGAAGGCCACAAACGCACACAAACTCAAGCAGACTGACGCACACACACTTGACCTGCGTGAATGGGGATCCGACTCGGGACCCGAATGACACGTAAGAGGATGCGCGTGCGCTGAACCAGGAGCTACACTGACTCGGGACCAGAACGCAGGCGAGGTGCCGAAACAGGCTTATCGGGCTACATAAACCCGGCTCCCGCAGGATGAGGGTTAATAAGCATAATGTTGAGATTAGAAAAAAATGACGGACTAGCTGGGCCCCCTTTCGATGAAAGGAATGATCGGTGCATTAACATCAACTGAAAGTCATTGGCCTAACTATATTTACACTCTACTGGAATGGAGCAGTAAATCTTGAGAGATGCAAAAAATTAGAAGGTCTAGATCTACCTCGCAAAATATCACTTCCACACCTGATTTTCTAAAATTACAGAGACAGAAGCGTCGGCCTACAAAAGCGATCGGCGAAATAAAGAAATTTAGCTTTTTGCAGCAAAACTGTCTCAAAACTGAAAAAAAACAATTGCATCATGATCTGGAGAATATTTTAAAGAATCTTTTGGCGAAAAGCGCATGTCAATCGATGCAGCTATTAAAAAGCCTTTTGAATAGCAAAATTCGGATACCACAAATAGATAATAGATACTATAAATCTGCATCACGCAAAAATTGGGATTGTTCAGAGCACTTCCCGCTTCTCACACACTTTTTGCATACGCATATACGTCACAGCTCACCAATGACACTTTTAACGGTAAAACGTGTTACAAGAAATTTATTTTGGCACTATAGGTTCTCAAAACACACTTGTGTTTAATAAGCATAATGTTGCGATTAGAAAAAAACGACGGACTTGCTTGTAAAAGCAATGTTGCCACAGCTGTTAACTTTTAAAATCTGTAGAAACTATCCACCTGGATTTTTAATTAGTATTTGTTATGGAATTTTCTAGAATACACCTAACATGGGTTTACAAAAATATTGATCTGTTAAGACAAATTGATACAAGTCATGGGGGTGCAAAAGCTGGAGAGTCTTATGTTCGATAGTTTAGGAAATATTTGACCACAGGTTGCGCCTGAAATTTTTTACCGCACTATAGACAAAAAACATCATTATTTCAATAAGCATCCAACAGATTTACATTTTTTATATATCAAATTTTAGCATGTTTCCAATTCTATTACAATATCTAAACAAAAGAACATTTGTCTCTAATTTAATTCAAAAGAGCATATAAAAAGAACAATCAGTATCCAGAACTTTTAATTAACTTTAAATCTCTATAATTTCTTTTTGTTCCCTTTAGCCAGATCACTCGACGTCAAGTTGTGGAACACACACACACACACACACACACACACACACACACACACACACACACACACACACACACACACACACACACACACGGTTAAGTTTAGGCTTTTACTTGTTTGTGTTGGGAGATAATGTCGACTTATTTGGTATGGAGCTGTGTCATTATTGCGACAACAGCGCTCGGCTAGCTTAACCTGGAAACCAACATAAACAAATGGGGAACCATCATTATTGACGCAAAGGAAATGAAGCATCTGAACCGCGTTAAGTTTTCCTCTGCCATCTTTCTTCCACATACTTGAATTTTGGAAATTGTACAAACATCTAATATTTCATAAATTACTTTAAAAATCAATTTAAAAGGTCGAATTCAAGGAACACCAAGACTCCCAAAAGAGCATGGAAGCATGTGACGTCACCGTCAGCTAAGCCCGGCCGGGAAGGGAAACATGGGTTTCTTGTGTTCGGCGGTAGCCTACCTATTGTCGAAAACAAGAATGGCTTTGCGCTTGAATTAATTAAAATATTTTAAAAATTAAACAGTAGCAAAATGGAGTATTTACATACACTGGTTAAGTCTCGAGAAAGCAAGACAAATGGATTAAACTTTACATTGATCTAACATTTATCTCATTTTCGCAACAAAATCCTTCCACTTCTACTGCATCAATCTCAACATGGAAAACACTATATTTTTAAAGCTCAGGTTTTCCTTTTTAAAATGATATGCCGGAAGTCATGAGTATTCACAAAACGAAACAAAACAGCAAGTAGTTTCGGACTCACCCAAAACGCGACCCAACATGACCGAGATAAAAAATTAATGAGGCACTGCAGTGGGGATTCCCATATGGGCATTTGCATTCATTAAACTGCCTACTTCAATGCCATATTGGCATACCTCTGTCCCCATAGAATTATTCAAATTTAGATGGCTAAATTATGCAACAAAAAAGCAAAATTATGCAAAAATTATGCAAGTTACCGTAGCACCATTCGCGACATGTTTTGCACTTTTTCAACACGAATTTTCATGAT